CGGAACAGTGGCGAATAATCAGCGCCCTTCTCCGCACTCTGGATCGCCTTTGCGTCCAAGCACCGGGCGGCGTTGAGCTCGATCCTTCCCTCCCGATCCATCAGAGGCTCGTCCTCGACCCAGTCCTCGCTCGGCGCCACCGGCCCGGCCTCGGCGTCCATGTCGACCGGAATGGTCTGCTTGACGCGATAGACATCGGTGGCGCACACGGCGCAGCGGAGGGTCATATATCGCTCGAGCGTCCTGTCACTCTCCCGCTTCTTCCTGCCGCTCCGAGCACGCGAGCGCAAGCGGATCGTCAACTGGCTGTGGGCCTGCGAGCGTCGGCGTATGAGCTTCAAAGGCAGTCGCACGGAGAAGAGCTAGGGGCGCACGACCGTCGGCCCACCGGCGCAGCGCGCGGGCACGTATCCCTCAGATCCAGATCCAGACTCGGCCGTCACTCGTATTCGCACATTCAGGCAGCGGCACGCGTGCTCGCGAGGCGAGCTGGACGTCATCATGGCCGTCCTGGTCCAAGCACTGTACACACGGCGCACAGCGTCTGGCTCCGCATTAATTTTCGGCATTCCGGCATTCCGGTCCGGTGGTGTAGCACATACAGCGTCCAGTGACCGGCATTCCGGACTTCTATATCTGGATCTACCTTGCCATGAACCACTCACTGCAAGCAGCGGCAAGCCGAAGGTCTCAAAGAAGATGCTGACATTTCGGCCAAAGGACTTAACATTTGTTACGCAGTATTTCCTGCATTTCCACGACGCGACAAGGGTCTTAGATTCTCAGGCCCTTTTCTAGTAGTCAGCGCGTCCTCCCGATCCTCTAGCCTTTCACTCGTACATAGTGACTACCGCTTCTTCTTCGACTCCCTCGGCTTCTCCGATGCAGCAGCTGGGGTCGCTTCGCTTGACTTGGTCTCCTCCGGCGTATCCTTGTCCTTGCCCACCTGTCCATATTCGTTCACGCGATTCGGGTCGATGCGGTAGATCCAGCGCTGTGCGACGACATGAGCATACCCTCTTTGCGGAACAAGATAGTTAACGCGCCTGCCAGAGGTAGACGCAGAGGACGAGATCGTCTCGAAATGCTGCCAGTCGGTGGAGGGTCGGCATCTTGATGATAAAGGCGAACAGGTCGTCGATAACCGTGCTCAGCAGTTTGTACACCATGGCCTTCATCGGCATGTGCGCCACACTTTTCAGCTTGTAGTTGATGATGAGCTGTGGCACGAGCTGAACCTGTTCACAGTCAGCGCTCATCGCCTTGTAAGGCTAGAGTGAGATGACGCACAAAGCCGAACATATACACGAAGCTCGTGAGCGTCGTGATCACGTACGAGTACCATCCACGATGGCTCTCATAGAGAAGACTGTAGACAGAATAGCCAAGCAAGCACGGGATAGTGACCCAGCTCACGTAGCGGAACGCGAGCTTGTCATACTCTTGTGTTTTTTTCTCGTCCTCGCTCAGGACATGCTTGTCGGTAATCTGTAAATGGAACGGAATGCCAGGGATCGTCGCCGGCTGCGTCGTCGAGGCGGGTACAATCGCAACGTCGACCGCCTTGGTGATCTTCCAAGCTTCGATGAGTACGCCCATGCCAGAGGACATGAGGATCATCCAGGACGTCTCCTCGTTGTTGTCGACGAGATAGAGCAGTACGATGATTTGCGTTATGACATTGATGATGATTGAGCGCACGGACACACCGACAAGCTCCTGCTTGTTCTTCCAGTGCGAGACATCCGACGTAAACGCGAGCATCTCGAACCTGAGCGCGACGAGCCGAATGTCAGGACCGCATTCGTGATCTGAGGTGAAGAGCGACTTACACGACGTGCAACACGCTGACTAGACCTGTCAGGCCAAGATACCACGGGTTGGTTTCAAGTAGCACCCGCTTGATCTCGTCCAACTCAGCACCACTCGCACCCCCTTGCTGCTGCGCGGCCTGGTCGAAGCCCGCAGTCAAGCTAGCGAACAACTGGAACTTCATGTAGCTGAGCGCCTGATAGGTAACTTGGAGCGGAAGCTTCGTCGTCGTCTCGTTCAACTCGATGAGGTGCGACCGGAGGTGCCAGAACTCATTCGGGAAGACGACGGGGTAGTAATAGCCGAAGCGGCCTGTATCGTCACGCGCATTGGGTATCAAGTGAACGTGCTCCTTTACTGGAGGAGGCAGCTGGGCGTATGGGATGGCCGTTCCGTCGGATACGAGTGCTAAGGTCATATTCTAGTAACCGCATGAGCTCTCTTGTAAATCGTGACGGGCGATTGAGCGTACTGGGTACCAATATGACGCGATGACCTTCTCTTCCTCAGCTTCTTGCTCCTCCTGATCGTATTCCTCCTTGCTGTGGATTCCGAGAAGCTTCTTCTCCTTGCGAACTTTAGGTTTGGGCATGTATCGCGTTAGCACTAGTGGAGATCAGTAATTGATGGGAGCAGTCAGAGACAAGGCAAACGCACGTTTGCGCCTGTGGAAGACGCCGCGGGCGTCGAACTTGGGGTCCTCGGGATCAGGGCTCAAGTTGGCCATGGTGAGGAAGATGTCCGCCCACATGGAGGCATTGTGTTGCACGGACTACGGAGACGACTCAGCAACGCCTGTGTAGTGTACGTCGAGAATCCATGCCTACCTGGGGGATCGGCACTTCGAGATCTGTCAACCGAGCATCGGACCAGTTCCCGTACGAGATGTTATACCAGGCAAAGCTAGGCAGATCTGCGTCGCGCCCGGCGCGCTTGGCCGCAAAGACCTGGCCGAAGGGGTCGGTGGACAGGTGGACGTGCAGGTCAAGTGCGACGCCCTGGGGCCAGGCCGGGTACGCCTGGTCGGGGGGGAGGGCACGAGGATCTAGATTCGGCGCGGGCACGTTTGCTTGCGCGTCGGGGGTTGCTACCTGGCCTGGGGCTGCTGTCTGTCCTTGTGCGGGGTCGACCTTGCCCTTGATGAACTTTCCAGCTAGGATAGCAGGAGGTAAATGTGTGTAGACAAACTGCGGTGCGCAGACGTACCGAGTTGGGCCAGGGCGTAAACGATGAACACTTGCTGCGGGCCGGTCGCGTCAGTACAGCATTATGGGGACAGTGCCAGACTGGGGGATTACCTGGACGACGCCGAAGACCCTCTTGAGGGTGCCCTCTTCCTCCGCGGGCGCTGGACGTGGACCAGACATGATGGTCAGGGTCAAGCTTGGGCGCGGCCCGCGCTTGTAAGTATCACTATCAGAATCTGTATATCAAAGCAGTCATCACGCGTGGCGCGGTAAGTACTGGATATAGACGGAGACTGCGGAATGGAAGTTGGAGCGAATTAGTCGCGCATCTTGCCGCCTCGCGACTGCAACAAGTCGGGAGGGTTGTGTGTAGCCGAGCTTAGCGGCCAACGTCGCTTCTTGTTCCCGACCACGATGGCCGGCCGTCCGCCATACCAGCAATCCAACGCGTCCTCCACAGACCCCTTCGCGGACAGGCCCAGGCACATCGCCATCCAGGAGCCCTCCCCGCGCGCCTACGAGTCCACCGTCTCCCTCACAGCCGACAATGACGGCTCCTCCGAGGGCGACTTTCAGGAGAAGCAGCCGCTCGCTGCCGGCCAGCCAGGCTTTGCTGGTGGCTTCTACCCGCCTGGGTATGTCTCGCAATCAGCCCACCCTGCTCGGACCTCGTCACTCATCGCACCCCAGGCCTGTCGACCCCAGCGCGTACGGAGATCCGTACGCGGGCGGACGACCCATCTCATCCGCCAGCTCTCTCACCAACGGCGTAGACACCGCCTGGCGTCGTCGACAGACGATCAAGCGCGGTGTCACCAAGAAGGTCAAGCTCACGAACGGCAACTTCATCACAGAATACCCCGTGCCAACACCCGTCTACTCTGCGATTGAGAGCAAGTGGACCTCGAACAGCAACACGACCGAGTTCTCGTAAGTGCCTAGCGTCCCGACCGCTGTGATCGCCTATTGTGTTGGTTCGATTTGGCATTGTCTCACGCGTCATTGGTAGACATATGCGTTACACTGCCGCCACCTGCGACCCCGACGAATTCACAGAGGCAAACGGCTGGTCTCTTCGTCAGAAGATGTACGGCCGCGAGACAGAGCTCTTGATCGCTGTCACGTCTTACAACGAGGACAAGACGCTCTACGCCCGTACGCTCCATGGCGTGATGGTCAACATCCGTGACATCTGCAAAACGAAGCAGTCGAAGTACTGGCGTCGGTCTGCCGAGGAGGGCGTTCCGCCATGGCAGAGGATCACCATTGCGCTCATTGTTGACGGGCTCGAGGCCATGGACAAGACTGTCCTCGATATTCTTGCCACCATAGGCGTGTACCAGGATGGTATCATGAAGAAGCAAGTTGACGGCAAGGATACCGTTGCCCACATTTTCGAGGTGAGGATCGTGCCACTGATAACCGTTGTGGGGCAGTCGTTGACTTGTTGACTTGTTCAGTACACGACTCAGCTCTCTGTCGACCCAACACCGCAGCTTATCCTGCCGCATGGCGATGACCCTAATAACCTTGTACCGGTGCAAATCGTGTTCGTGTTGAAGGGTACGCGATACCCTGTCCGGTGTATGCCCCAACGTCGCTCATCCCATATGTTGACAGCCAAGAATCAAAAGAAGATCAACTCGCATCGTTGGCTATTCAATGCGCTAGGGAAGATCATGAATCCTGAGATCTGCGTTCTCATTGACGCCGGTACCAAGCCAGGACACAAGGCCATCTACCATCTCTGGGAGGCGTTCTACAACAACCCGAACCTTGGTGGCTGCTGTGGAGAGATTCACGCCATGATCAACAAGGGCAAGAAACTGCTCAACCCACTCGTTGCAGCCCAGAACTTCGAATACAAGATGTCCAATATCCTCGATAAGCCGCTCGAGTCCTCGTTCGGCTACGTATCGGTGCTGCCCGGTGCTTTCTCCGCCTACCGTTACCGCGCTATTCTTGGCCGGCCGCTCGAGCAGTACTTCCACGGTGATCACTCGCTCGCCGACCGTCTGGGCCCCAAGGGTATTCACGGGATGGGTATCTTCACCAAGAACATGTTCTTGGCTGAAGATCGTATCTTGTGTTTCGAGCTTGTCGCCAAGGCGAACTGCCGTTGGACGCTTACCTACGTCAAACCCTCTAAAGCCGAGACGGATGTGCCCGAGAGCGCTGCCGAGCTCATCGGTCAGCGTCGTCGTTGGTTAAACGGGTCCTTCGCCGCCAGCATCTACGCCGTCGTGCACTTCTTCTACCTTTACCGCTCCGGCCATGGCATCATCCGCATGTTCTTTTTCCACATTCAGACGCTCTATACAATCATCTCGCTCTTCTTCTCCTGGTTCGCCCTCGCGAATATGTGGTTGACGTTCAGCATTATCATCGACTTGTTACCAGACCAGGGCGTGGTCATTTTTGGTGGCAACAACGACACGGGTCTTGAAATTGTGGGTTGTCCCAAGCCCTTCATACGTTTGCTTTGCTCACTCTTCTCTCCAGACACATTGGGTCAACCTCGCGTTCAAATGGATATACCTCGCGTTTCTTGCACTGCAGTTCGTGCTCGCGCTCGGCAACAGGCCAAAGGGTGAACGCGGGTTGTATACGACCACTCTCTGGGTCTACGCCTTCCTGTCGCTTTACTTGCTCGTTTGCTCGATGGCGCTCACGGTCAAGTCTTTCCTGGCAATTCCCGACGAACTCAAGAACAAAACGACCAGTCAGATCATCGCGACTTTCTTCACGCCGCCAGTCGGTTCACTTGTTGCCGCCATGGTCTCAACGTTTGGCATCTACCTAATCGCGTCACTACTGTACCGCGATCCGTGGCACATGTTCTCGTCATTCTTCCAGTACCTCGCGCTCGCACCGTGCGTTTTGGTTTCAAGTCTCCATATCCAACATTCATTGACCGGTTGTTACTGATAGGTCGTTCACCAACGTGCTCAACGTCTACGCGTTTTGTAACTTACACGACGTTTCTTGGGGTACAAAGGGCTCAGACAAGGCTGATATCCTGCCTACGGTCTCGTCCAAGAAGAGCAAGGAGGGTGACCAGGCTGTCGTCGAAGAAACTGCACGCGTGCAGGAGGATCTCGATGCGGCTTTCAAGGAGACGGTCACTCGCGCAGTGACGAAGGTTGAGGTGAAGGAGGAGATTGAGAAGCCGACGCTAGACGACCAGAACAAGACGTTCCGCACGCGTCTTGTCGCCTTCTGGATGCTCACCAATGCTGGACTCGCTGTCGCTATCGAAAACATCAACGGTCTCGTCGATACGACGAATAGCAAGGAAATTCTTCAGGAAGAGGCGGACCTGCGCACGAAGCAGAACGACTACTTCGCGTTTATCCTCTACTCGACGTTCGGTCTGTCGCTCATCCGCTTCATCGGTGTAAGTGTTTTACCTTCATTCACATACCTGTGCTGATGTCCGCTTGCAGTGCCTGTTCTACCTCTTTAAGCGCAACCTATTCAAGTGTTTCCGCCGGGCTTGAGCCCATTGCATAATCTCTACCACATCATAAGGCTGGCCCGATAGCTTCTCAACTGGAACGTTCCTACTATATCCGCTACGCCTTCGGACGCACGCACAGTTCATTCTTTACGCATACTGTATATCCACTTCACTTTTACGTCCCGCTCCCTCGTTTCCACACCTTCTGCGACTGCTCTCGTTTCCGCGTCTCGTATATCGTACGTGTACAGAGCGTCTACATTTCCCGACTGCCATAATCCAGGGCGTCGTCGTCGGATCATCTCTCTCATTGGATACGATTTCTGTGTATGCATCTTTTCGAACGATATAGTCGGCGTGTGCTGTCTGCTTGTATTTGTCTGATTCTGAGATTGTCGCTCTCTCTGGTCTTCGACAGACTAGGGCGATATACATAGTAGGAAGGAAAAGGGACGCGGTCACGCACATGAACTTGATGAAGCCTATCGCGCCGCCACGCGCATTGTCTGAAACCACCATCTGCTTGACTCCTTCTCAGCTCATGCTCTGGCGAAAGCATGGGTATCACTGGGTACTCTATACTCTGACAGGATCGCCACGAACTAACATAATCGAATGAAGGCTCGTCCGATGGACTAATGCACCCACGACTGGCCTCGAACTCATCCGCGAGAACATCCGCCGCAACCTCAACGTCTGTTTGCGTCGATTTCTTGATATCGGCTATACTTACGTGTGCACACAGGGCAATTTTGTTGAGCGCTGGCAACTTTCTGTGCGATCATACCGCTCTACATTGGGCGCACTGGCGCCGGAGCGCTCGATGTGCGCGCTAACGATGGGCGAGAACGTGTTTGTGTCGATCGAGGACCCGTTCGCGCCGTCGCGTAGAGAGTACGCTGCCAATCCAGAGGGTTACTTCCAAGGTCGCGCGAACCGAGATCCTCCGCCCCATTATCGACATACGTTTCTCACACTATCGCCACCCGGCGCGCTCGAGCTGCTGCTCGGGCAGCTTCGTGCACGGTGGATGACCACCAAGCAAGCCGTGGCGCAGGGACAAGCTGCGCGCGGCCCGAATGCACAGCAACTTGTTGTGGACGGCTTAGTCTGGGCCATTGGGACGGATTGGATAGTACGTGCGGGCAACGTCGTGCTGAATGGTGTTCCAAGGGGGATGCTTCTGGAGGTACGAGCGCTGTTCCGCGGTCCTGACAAGGCAGCTTGTGACTGACATACCTGCAGGCTGAATATCTTCCGGTGCCGACAATGGACTTGACCAAGGCACAAAACCTGATCTCGAGCCTACTCAGCATTGCCGTTCCTAACGTTCGCGATGCACGATTAACGGTCGTTACGATTAGCGATGAACATTGGGCCGACGCACTTTGGAACAGTGACGCGGAGGATACACCTTCGGTACAGAAGCCAGCGCCAGGAGTCGAGGAAACCGATGAGTATTGCGCCCTGAGAGATGACGACGAAGAGATGTGTCAGAATGACTGGGTTGGTGTTGCGCGCGATAGACGTTCAGCGTACCTGATTCTCGGTTCGTTGAAGTCGGACGGGCTAGTATGATAACATGTTTACAAGTACGCAAGGTTATTCCCATGCCCAGAAGAAGAAGGATGTGCAGTTCTCATGAGCTTTCTTTTGGTTACGTAGGGCACCTAATACTAACTTTAGCTTGCTCGATATCATCGGCGCGAGGATAGGATGCTCTGAAGGGACCTCACCGGATGGTACTCACGAAGCTCGGAGATCGTATGGCTACCCTTGAAGGTTTCTTGTCTCTCACAGGTGACGCAGTTCTATACTCTTACGACCAGAAGCTCATGCTGAAAGCAATGCGCCGCCTTGCAAAGGAGATTCTATCGCTCAGACTCCACTACTCTAAACCGGCTTTTTACCAGGATTATGTGCGTATATGACACCCTACGTCGTTTCTATTTGATATGAGTAGTGTCTATGCTTGATACAATACAAATCAGAGGTGTTCGACTTTGAGGCGCATTTGCGGGGTTTGGCATGGGAGGCATCATTCCCTCCTGCTAAAGGCGATCTGCTATAACTCACTCTCCCTAATAGAGGGTATGGACGCTGTCATCACTGCGCATGAGTTAGATCAAGCCTTGAGAAGAAAGATGCTTGCCGGTACAGTACGTTCGTGTTTAGGGGTGTCGAATGCACTTCATCGACTCGGCCCCGGGCCGTAGACACAGAAAAGGGTGCAGGATGCTTCAAGGAATGCACCGATGTGCTATATCAGAGCAGGCAGGTCTCACTCTATAACCATGATGATTCATCGGAAGGTTCTCAATATTGAGCTCCGCGAGTTCCACGTCCATCAGGACGGACAACTATCCCGGGCCCGACTCCCCACGCAATCATCAGACGGAGCGGCTTGTCGTCGACTAAGGAGCGAATGACTCGCGCCGTTTCCCAGTTGTCGTTTGCACACTCACTATACTTCTCAGGTCGCTCCTATAGCCATATACATATCATCACGAGTACATCCCTGAAAACTCTGATCTATCCGTAGTGTACGTGATTTCAGCAGGCACGGCCAGTGGTGCGCCAAACACCGTGAAGGCTGAGGGAATAATCCCCGCCATTTGGTCCGGATGCATAGGAGCCGCCCTGATGCTTGTTCTTTCTTCTTGGTAGGCAGCAATGATGCGCGAGAGTGCTGCTTCAAAGTCATCGTCCGCGCCCGAAACTTGCTCTGCCGATGAAGATGGTGTCACCGTTTTGAGGAAAGGTGTTCGACACAAAGGGCAGGTTGGATGCTGAGTGTATTTTCCAGTCAGCTTCGGGTGCATGTGGCTCAAAAAGGACATACACCATCCCGTAACCAGGTCAGCAAACTATAAGGATACTTTAGTGACGTCACAACCTCAGTATGAACACGCACCATTTCCTACAGAATATATGCCCACATGTTTCGGTGATGCGGGTTACACCAAGGTCTCCCAGCATTGGCGAGTCCATGACCTGAGCGAGCTCCTCGTCCGCTATCGCGGCGAGAAGCGTGTTCAAACATATGGGACACGATGCGTCTTCAGATAATTCTTCAGTGCATAATATCTGTATGGACTGGACTGAGCTTGCCGCGGTGGTCAATTCGTGAGAGATCCTCCTCGTCAAGCTTGGGCAAAGAGTCTACGATCTCCAGCATTTGTCTGAAGCGTGATTAATCAATCACACACGATTGAGGCACGAGTAGACCATACTGAGAAGTCAATCGGGACGCCTGACCACCGTTAGAGCGTCGATGTCGCATCACGGTCCGCAAGTCTGTACGAATTTGCCTGTCGCGTTCAGTCGTGCTGGGCATTTCATCCATTACGAGTTCGAGAAGCCATCCAGGCATATCCTCGTCGGAGTATTCGTCCATGGTGCGATGGTGATGGGTTCAGAGCAGATGCGCTGACGCGTCGAGGTCGGTGTGGTAACGGGCTGATGCGTGGGAACATGACTGCATTAATCCACGCTTGCAAGTTCAGGCGATAGATTGAGGGAAAGCGATATATAATCTCATCGGGAGAAGGATAGTACAAGAAGGCGATGATGCGAGAAAAGATGCGAGCATACATGGGTCACAGCGAAAGACAAGCGAAAGACTACACCACTAATCATGACATGAGATGCGAAGATCTGATCCAGGCCAGCTATATGGCTAGAAGGGGTTGTCGTCGGTATCCGTGACGGAATGAGTAACCGGCCCATCTTCTGCTTCGACGGCAGCCGTGGACTCATCAATATCTTCTCCGCTGGACGCGTCCTCCGATGTTGCCTCTTTCTGCTGGAATAACCCTCCCATCGGCTTCGCACCCCTGCAAGCAGATCATTAGCGACAGTCACGCAGCAGACGGTGTGCTAACGTACTTGTTGAAGTGCTTCTTCTTTGCCGCATTGATTTTCTGCGTTGTTGGTGTCATCATGTTATCAGTCGGCGAAACAAAGTTCGAGTTTCTGATATGAAGGCGATTCAGTCTTCGATCGCCACCGGTTAGGTCAAGACGAGAGGCGCACTGCTTGGCAAACCGACGGTCAAACATAGCCTTTGCGCCAAGTGGCTTGATGGGACCGTTTGTTGCGTTGCCCAGTGGCGCTTGAGGCACAGAGACGTGAGCAGCGTTGCTCGGGTTATGAAGTGGCTGGATCGTGTGAGAAGTGACAGGAGAGTCGTTGGGCGTGTTTGATGCAGACATATCGGAAGGTGGGCTGTTGACGGTCGAGACGGCGAGAGCGACGATGAGAAGAAGGAGGAGGAGGTGGTGGTGGTGGTGGTGGTGGTGCAGGGTAGTAATTGAGGCCTCGAATGTGCCGCGATTGACCATAGTCGAACTTCACGTGGGCGCATTGGCGTTGAGCGCTGAGCGCGAGCGCTGGTCGAGGTTGTTTCTCGACCACGATCATTAGCAGTCGCTCGAGCTCTGAGATCCGAGCGCAGACTGAATGCTATCCTGTCTCAGACAATCCATCTTTAAGCCTTCTTGAGACGACCGAGCCACTGAGCGTGGACTCGTGGTCTACGTTGGACTCAACACTTTTAGCTGGTCTCTCGGCGCATCACAGTGATGGCCGCATGGCTGGTGCGAGGCCTTCGTGTTATCACGGCCGCTCTGAATTGTGTATGCCTGTGAATGCCCCTCTGTAGCTTTTCGATGGACTGTTCTCCTGACAGCTGGAAAACGATAGGTCAGAGTCGGGCACCACGTCGGGCCTTCCTCTCACGCGGAAACGACACCAAACGCGAATACAGCTCGTTCGAACCTTCACGACTACGAATCCTTCGTCTCTTCGGAAACAGTGATTTTAGGACTATCTTCGAATTGAACTGGCAAGTGCACATTGCAACGAATGCTGACGACTGGCTATATCGTGTGGAATGTCGAGGAAGTGGTACTGGATACATTCCACATCGTCCAGGCGCACTTGCTTCCGCCTATCTGTATATAACACTGTTGAAGCGCCCCAGCAGATTGTGATAAGAACTTCTTTCCTGGTGTACGACTGTTTGGAAGCATAGACAGGAGTGTCCGCGCAGCGATCATCCATCTACCGTGGGTTTCATTCAGGATCCACGCTCGCAGCGTCCCGATACGCACCAGCAGGTAGCCAGACTTGCAAGAGCCGCAGGCACAGAGATCTCGCGGTGCTTGTCTTTCCGTCCGATGGCAGTCACAACATTCCGAACTAGATGTGGAAGGCGATTTATTCCTCGTTACGTCCTCCCACATGTTCTAGGGTATAGCTGAAGATCAGTTGAACGTGTGGTACGACTAGAACTACGGGCCGCCACCGACTTAGCGCTACAGTTGCTGAGAACGCACCTGCACATAATTGAGGCAAACCGGTCATTATGCGCACGACGACCGAGATCATGCTTCTCGGCGGAGAGCGCGGCATCTTTCCGTTTCATCATAGACAAGCCTAGCATTCTGCAGTTACTCTGTAGATCAAAAGTTTTCTCGGGTTGCTTAGTGGTAGGCGCTGCGTAGGCGTCCTTGGACGTAATGAAGACAGGAGAGCAGACTTCAGGATGGCAGCTGACTTGTGGGTGAACGGCCCGAGTTGGTAGGGACGTACTATCGATGGGCCACAAAGGGAGGAGAAGATGGTGCCGGTGAATCCGGGTGGAAACGCGGGTCACGCCTCCCGCTTATTACATCAAGGGCGGACATAGACCGTCTACAAGAATACTGAATACGGCGTGAAGGAGAGAGCGAGAGTAAGATGAGGTCGGGGTGAGAGGCCCAGCCTTTGCGGCGGCGGATACTCAGGAGTGGCGACAGGTGGCGACGCCGAGAGATGAGCGCGTGCTGGGATTACGCGCGTCGCAAGGCATCCTAAATCCGACGAAAGTTCCGCTTGTACACATACACACGGCGAAACTGCGCGGACGTGTGGGCGCGGGTTGGCTCTGACCGCCACCTTATTTGATTTACCTGCGTCTGTGAACCCACCGACCATATTCTCCCCCCTTCCCGTCCCGACCACTGGCTGCTCCGCATATCCCGTAATGGCCGGCGACCTCCTCAAGAAGCGCAAGATCGCTGTTCTCGGCTCTCGGTCTGTTGGCGAGTGCTTCTCGCGACGTCATCGCACGCTTATCCTCTGACTCGCGCGCACAGGCAAGTCCTCACTGGTAGTGCAATACATCGAAAATATCTTTGTCGAGTCGTATTATCCCACCATCGAAGCTACTTTCTCAAAGAGCATCAAGTACAAAGGGCAGGAGTATGACTGCGACATTATCGACACCGCCGGTCAGGTTCGTTCCCCGCGCACCTCTGGTGTTACATCCATGCTAACCAGCCTCGCCTCGCTCCTAGGACGAATACTCCATCTTGAATTCCAAGCATGCTATTGGCATCCACGGCTTCGTCCTCGTCTACTCCGTCACGTCACGAAACTCCTTCGACATGATCCAGATCGTTTACGACAAAATCATCAACTTCTGTGGGGAAAGCAAGATCCCCTGTGTTATTGTCGGCTCCAAGGCGGATCTAGAGCAAAAGTAACGTGCGCTCTTGCTCATGCTAAGCTTGGATGCTGAACTGTGATTCGAAGCAGGCAAGTCAGTCGAAGCGAGGGTGAGGAGCTCGCACGGCAAAACCACGCCGTATTTGTCGAGACCAGTGCGAAGAACAACGTGAATGTCGGTGAGTGTGTCGAAGTCGATGCCCATGCGCGTCTTACACGTCTCTAGCAAAGGTCTTCGAGAGTTGTCTGGCGGAGGTCGAACGTTTGTCCCCCTCAAGCCAGACAGAACCCGAAGGCAGCAAGTGCCTCATCATGTGAATGCCCGCTCTTCGGCAGCCCCCGGCACCCTCGCCCGCTTTCGCCTTCCAACATAGACACTATCCCGGTCCTCGCACCATCCATACGGAATACACCATTCTCCTCCTGCGAGGCCGGTCTTCTCTCATATGCATCCCCTTCAAATACGGCGAGGCGCTGCACAGGATAACTCGCCGCTTTTGACGTGTATCTGCGTTTCCCTCTTTCTTTCCCAGGCGACTTCATTGCCTCTCCACCTACAGCTTTTAGTACTAGACACTCCCTGGTGGTTTCTAATTGCATCGTCTTTGTCCGCTACAGTCTGCTACTATCAAGCTGGGATGGTGACCAAGCCTGCACGCGCCTCATCGTCAAATAGTAAGCTGGCGCTTGGCAGAGTGCGCACCGATTGGTCAAGTCACCCAGTGCGTGAAGGTCTGGTATCCAGGGTAGCACCATCAAGCTTTGACTGACATGCGGCTGATCATTGGTTGGCGACCATAAGGGTGTGGCGCTTTTTTGCCCCTAGCAGCCCTGCATGTCACAAGTTTGAGTTTGCATATGCCAGTGCCTTGGGCTGATCTGTCGTGTGTAGGGCCATGGCCGCGATTGCTCATGGTTGGCGCACATCATTGGTATTTGCCCGCGCTAGCTGCGGGCGCAGGGTTCTTTCGTCCTTGCTATCAAGCACGACTAAAGAGTTGCCCACTATACATTAGATGATTCTGCTTTGGGGACTCGACCATCTTGTTCCGTTTCGGAGACGTCACATTTTGCGAAATTTGTCTACGCCTACTTGGTACGTGTTCAGTTGGCGTTCTCATGTTGCGAGTCCTGTAATTGACGTATAGCTTGATTTCTAAGGCTATCACGGCAATTCCCGGAGCACCTGAGCGACTCTAGTGATAGGCTATTTGAATTCGGCGCTCGGCATTGATGAGTTTGCGCTGTGAACGAGGTAGGATCGAACCAGCGCAACGCCTTTTACCCAGCCTTGTCAACGCCGAGTCGCCGATTGTTAGCTAGAACATCTCGCATCACTTGTCAGGGTGGCATCGAGGCTTCATATTGGGACTCTATGCCATGTATAGCAGTCGATGAACGCAAGTATTGAGCTGAGCCGGACTTGATCGCTGGCGGCGCCTCTCAATGGGAATTCCATGGGTGAACTCAGTTTGCGCCACGCGCAGTCGTATTGAGTATATCGATAGAACATTACGCATTCGCACACGTTCCTCACCGCAGCAGAATGTAGTCGAAGAAAGTGTCATGCCAGAGTATCGTCGTTGGATCGCCATAACGATGTTACCAACCATCTACACTAGAGTGTATCGGCCGCTATATGATGATCCCGCGATTTCGAACCCCTATCGCGCGGGGCTGACATCATCGTCGGTCCCGCGGAGCCCCAGCATTTCGAACTCTAACGTTAACCTCGACGACCATGAGCCAGACGACACCCATACCGCTTCAGTCTTTCTTGCAGCTTTTGACGTCAAGGAAAGTTTCCATCGCGCGTGCCATGAAGATAGCTGGACAGGTGTGAGTCGTCCCCGATTCAATGAGGTAGAAGCTTGGGCTCAGTGAACTCACTAAGCGCTAGTTACAAGCAGTGCAATACACCCGAACAACTTGGTCGACTCACCAACGCTTCTCTTCTGGGCTTCGGTGTCTCTGAGAAGGAAGATCGAGACGCTATACTCAACGCCGTCAATAAGGCCGGTTACCGTGCGCAAGCTGTGGCGAAATCTAAGGAGCAAGCGGCAAAGAAGCGCAAAGCTGCAGAGACTAAGATCGGTACAAGGACGTCACTGTCTCGTCATGGAAGGCCGGAGGCTACGACTGTCGATGATTCTCTAAAGATGGTCCAGGAGGTACGTTCATATGATGAACACCCTGAAAGCACATATGTCAATACGCGTATGCGACTGTAGACCGATTTTGCTATCGACCTACCGAAGCCTTTCCCGCGTAAGCGACGCAAGTTGGATGACACGAAGCTCAAGAACGAGTTTCTTCCTGACAAATCTTGGGACGAAGGCGATGCATTGAACAGTTTCGACTTCGAAGAGACCCTTGCTGAAGAGGTATGCATCTCGTTCAGACTAGACGGGAGACTAATATCCTACGATCGTTCCAGGCGCTTGCAGACCAGTACGCTATAGTCAATCGAGCGCCGATTATGATGGCTTGGTCGTGTATTGTCGCCGAACGAATTGGTTTTGCGCGAGAGGAAGCTCTCAGCATCGGTATGTGCATCTCATGCCCTCTTCAATTAAGCTCATACCACAACACGCATAGCGTCCGTGTATACAGAGATGAACGCTATCACGAGGGGTTTATCTCTGGGCATATACGACAAGACGAGCGCGGAAGTCGTAGAGGCTTCTCCTCACGGCACACAGCCTTACGCCGAAGTGATGGGCCGGCGCATACCATTGTACAAGACCTCGGAGGGTTCTTGGCGAGCTCTCAACAAAGATAGTAAACCCGCATCCCCCGCCACCGCTTTTTCATATATCTCTCGGTCTTTGAAGCAGAATACATCCGAAATCGTTGGATCTTTGCGTTTGCTCGCGCAAAGTCACACGGCCGAACACATCAACCGCGTTGGGTGGTCACTTTACGCAGAGTTCAGGCCGGAAGCGAATGGATGGGGAAAACGAGGTCGAGTGGATTGCGATGTTATCCTGGGATTACGACCTCGGTCAGGAGCCGAGGAAGCAAGACCCGCCGTCGGAATGTCCTCAGAGAACGCGGCCAAACCCCAGGAGGACGAGACCGCTTTGCCCTCTACGGTTGATGGAGAGGACGTGGACCTATCAGAGATCGACTTATTTGGTGACTTTGCCATCGAGGAACCCGATGCCCAGCCTGACCCGGTGACCGTGACTGAACGCTCACGTTGTACTGCAAAGACATGATATAACACCGTCCCCTATAGATTATTGCCCAGTCTATCTAGCGAATGTACACCGTCTACTCGAGGTTTTTGATAACCTCTGCTGTGAAAGCATGCGTCGTGTCAGCGCCACCCATGTCTGGCGTGCGTACCTTGCCGGCGTTGAGGACGTTGAATGTCGCGCTGGCAATGTTGTTGGCCATATGGCCCAGTCTGCATTTATGGTTTCGTTGTCAGCTGCGGAGGATGAGGCTCATATAGCAAGATAACGTACCCAAGGTGCCGAAGCATCATGGTGGAAGAGAGGATCATGGCGGCGGGGTTTGCACGGTCCTTGCCCATGATGTCGGCAGCAACGTGGCGGCATCCTGGCTCAAAGAGAGCGTAATCACGGCCGACGTTGCAGCCAGGCACGACACCAGGGCCACCGACGAGCGCGGCACCAATGTTCGACACGATGGCGCCGTAAAGATTTGGCATAACCATCACGTCGAATTGCTGAGGTTTGGCGACGAGTTGCATGGACGTGTTGTCGACGATCATGTCGTTGGCCTCGATGCCGTAGGGCTTGTACTCCTCGGCGACGCGGCGGAAAGTGTTGAGGAAAAGGCCATCGCCGAGCTTCATGATGTTCGCCTTGTGCACGCAAGTAACTTTCTGGTCCCAGATATCAGCATACAACACGCAAGTCATCAGCCGAATTCAGCGCACCTTGCGGTTGTTCTTGATTGCAAAGTCGAACGCGAAACGTGCGATACGCTCCGCCTTGGCACGGGTCGAGACCTTCAAGCTCTCAACAACGCCGGGGTAGCTCTGGTGCTCCAAGCCAGAGTACTCGCCCTCGGTGTTCTCGCGAATGATCGCAAAGTCGACGTTGTTGTGGCGGGTCGGGACGCCCGGGAGGGATTTGCAGAGGACGACCGAGGCGTAGATGTCGAGCTGCTGGCGCATGGCGACGTTCCACGAGATGTGACCGGACTGGGAGATGGGCGTGAACAGAATACCTGGCCCACGGCGTTCAGCGCGACTGTCCGGCCGGTCCGGGGGAGAACGTACCCTTGAGGCCGACCTTGTTACGCTTCAAGCTCTCCATAGCCTGCTTGAAGAGCGCCTCGCCCGAGGACGACATGCCAGAGACGTCGTACTGCTCCCACTCAATGGGAGCATTGACCGCCTCGAATATCTCCTTCACCGAGTCGGTGATCTCAGCACCGATACCGTCTCCGGGGATGAGCGTGACCTAGAACAGCCAATCGGCCGATGCACACGCGCAAGCCACGCAGACACACGCACAGTATACACGCCGCCATATTTCGTCGGAAGCTGTCGGGTGTCAGACGCTGTTCGTGTAGCTGTTCACCGTGGACATACACGCTCAGCGACTTTTGGGAATTGAGTGACGGTCGAGGCCGCGCGCTAACGCCCAGTGATGTCAGTGAATGAATGACAACTGTGGGCACACTGAGCTATACGCACCACAGACGCGACTGCTGGACGCGCTGCCGAGAGAGCGTTGCGAAGCATGACGGGGTATGGACGAGTTGAGGAGAGAGGCAAGTGTGCTCGAAACTTGCCGCGCGAATCTCCCGAACTGACCCGGGGCGGGCCGGGGATCAACCAACGTCAACCCCCGCGAGTCGTGACCGAGACGGTGCGCGCGCCCTCCGCCGACTTTGATTTTCCGCGCTCTGCATTCCAAGACCGGCCGACGACAGCACATAATCGGCCCAACCGATGCCCGACTACAAGACAGCCTGTTGACAGCCGCCATCGAGTTAATTCGGTACCGTGGCTTCTCAAAGAACCTGCGCCGGCCAGCAAATAATGACATTGATCCGCCTACGGGCGCTATACAGCTTTGACAGGGTACATTCGACAAGCCGGTGGAATCTACTCTCTCGGTATACTGCAGATCATTCTGTGTAACGTACACGAGTTTGCGACGCTACGCCTGCTCACGGGCACATCGGCCGTATCTCAATGTGATGCGAACATGTCTCAAGACAATGGAGATACTGGATGGCTGCCAGGCAAACCTTGTTTTTCGCGCCCGACGGGTGACTCTGCGGCTCGGGCCGTGGGTCTTTTGGACCTCTTCCGGTTGTACATACGCGCTTGTGGCGGGACGAGAACTGACGAGAAGAAGCACTGAAGCAGCCAAGTCTCGGTCGAGCGCTCGATGACTGTACACGCTGCGATATTAATGGTAATATATGTACGCAACATGAAGGGCACAAGTGTAAAACGAAGCCTGAAGTGATCGTTAACGCCCTGAAACGGCAGGCCTTCTTACGAGCCCATCAGCACCCCCACGTCCCGCGCGTACCTCGCTGCAGAGTCTTCCTGATGGAAAGCTTGCTCGCAGCGAGCATACCGCATGCACCTGCTCGTCCGAGTCCACTGCTTTCACGAGAGCTCAAAGGTCAGAGACAAAACAGACGTGTCCGACGCACACTTCCAGGGGTTGTTGTTGCTGTTTTTATCCTCCGCGTGTGCTTGCCGCTAAGCCTGTACCCGACCTCGGAGGAGGCTAGATAAAGTGTAGTGGGTCTTGGTGTGAGCGGGGTCCGAGTCCGACTAGTCATGCGAATGCGCGTCTGCGGGCGCTGTTTTCTCTTCCAGAAGCAACGCGCCACCCTCTTACGCACCCAGATGTCGTGAGAAGATGTAAATCGAGCAGGTCTGTAGAGCGGGGCCAATCAGCCGCGAACGGTGGAAGGCGTGCGGCTTGCCACCACTGGCACCAGCCCCTTGTTCGCTTGCTGCTTCGGGGTTTTTGTGGCCAGCTGCCCCTGTTCTCGCTTGACAGCAATTGATCGTCTCGCGCCACTGGTGCTGGACTGCGAGGGCATATATACCCCGGCTCAGTACCTTCTTCGAAGCACCTTCGCGTGCAGTACTTATCCCTTCCCGAGATTGTTCCCCCAACGTCCATTCCCTCGTCATCTCTTGCTCTACACGTCGGTCCTAACATTGACTGACATCGGAAAGTGCCTCCACATATTCATGTCATACTTCCCAAGTGCGCACGACACCCCTGGTCAAGCGGGCTACTATCCGCAGGCAGCCTACGGTACACCGGGCTATGAGCCAGGCACGCATGCAGCCTTGCATGGTGACATCGGCGGGCATGGAGATAACGTAAAGGAGATGCTGTCGAACGAGGTACGAGACTTTGCACCGTCGCTGCGCGACCTGCGTCTGATCGCATCGTGCAGGGATATGAGGACGTTGGCCGTTACACGCACGGCGGCAAACCCACTGTGTACAGGCAAGCTTATCCGCCATACCCTGAATACAGCCAGACCTTGTCTGCGGCGCAAGGTACCGCCGGCTTCTTATATGCAACGCAATCCCCGACTGTCGCGCCCGCTTCTCCGCTTCAGCCGTACTCGACCGAGCAAAGCAGAAGTGGGTACGCTGCTACACCGCCAACTGGCAGGCCGTACGCTGTAAGCTCCACTGGATCTACTTCACTGATCGAGCACAGCTGACGCGATGACAGCAGGCTAGCACGTACGGTCACGAGCAATCACCACGGGTAGGCGAGATACCACCGTCGAGAGCTCAGGCTGCTTTCGCACAAAGCGGGTTTCCCGATGCCAGCCTATACGTCCCGAATCCTCAGATAGTCCCATCTCATGGCCCACGTGAATTGTCCAGCACTCTCGTGGGCGCGCTCGGGCCGCCAGCCGCGTCGACGCCAACAGCACGAATCGAGAGCTCTCACCGTTCGAGTACCCTGCCACATCCGGATATAGGTGTGCCGATAGCGAGCCCGTCCTCGGAGTATCCTTACACGGAGTACGGGTCGCCGTATGCCGAAGACGTCGATTTCCAGTTTGTTGTGGAGACAGGTTCGTCCGCTTCTGTAACTTCTGCCCGTTCAGCCCGTGGGCGCACCGAGCTGGATGGCGCCGAAGACGCACCGCGAAAGCGCACGAACTCGAAGGCTCCCAAGAAGGAAGTAGGTTTCTTGGCTTGCTACTTCTGTCGGGGGAGGAAGATCGCCTGCAATGCGCCGCCAAAAGATGCCGAGGATAGATCGTGCGAGTGAGTGTTCATCTATAGTTGCGATCTGTTCTGTGTGTTCGCAAGCGGGGTGCGGGAGGCAAGTTGACCGGCGAGAGAACTCGCTTGATGTATATATGCGCTTCTGTACTGCATTGACACCGACTGCCTCGCGACCACGGCGTGCTCTTTCACGGCATTGCGGTCGCTGTTGTGCTTCATCGTTTTGATTCTGTGGCGCCGCCGTGTAAGCTCACTTGCTGACACATCAGAGCAGACAGTGCTCGAAGCGCAAGATTCCTTGCGAATATCCCACCGTCTCTAGACGCGGCCAGCGCAACCTCAACGAGAAGAAGAGAGCTCAACCTGAAGAGTCGTTTGTGCCCAGACGAGTCCGCACAGAGTCTCATATGGCCATGCAGGGGTCTGCGTCGGGCTACCCCTATGGCAATTAATTACCAGTGTGCATCAACCGCCTTTCCATTCCATCTCCCTGCGCAGCTTCGTAGACATGCTGCTGTTGGAGCTCCTACACACGTTCGAGTCGCTCTCGCTTGCTATTAAGGCTGTAGCTGTTACGTTGTCGTTGTCTATGTTAACGTTGTCGTCCATGTCTTCATTTTCGTTTGCTATCCTATCGCTATTGCATGAGATGTTCATCACAGGGCTTACACTATATATACTTGCGACCTGTCGCGTCGTTCGGCGTATACTCATCGGCGTCTCTTTAACCGGAGATGAACCTTCAACGACGCTCATATGTAGTCCAACAGTAACTTCGGCCGCCGTTTTAGTCCACCATCGGGCGCTTGAGCTGCAGGAGGTACTGACTCACGGGCCTTACGTCAAGGCTCGCTCCCCTCATGGAAGCTGGAGCGAAATAAGGCTAGTCAATACCTGGATCAAAATCGATCCGGGCTTTCCGTACCCGCGCGACAGTAAAGTCAAAGCTCATGTGACCGTGTTATTTTCACATGTTGCGGATCGCTCGGCGCTCGCGTGGCACGCTGGGCTCGGACATCAACTGAGCCTAGGGCGAAGACGTCTCCTAGGCTCCTACCGTACCAGTCAGGCTCCTGGCTCTCCACGCTCAGTCCTCCGCCGAGGACATCCGCTCCTTTGTTCAGACGGTCATGACTCGCTCAAGGGGTTCTTCATTGAGTGGCGAAGCACCGCCATGTCCCGCAGAGTTACCGCACCTGCCTCCGACTCGAAACCTTGCTTTTTATGCGACTCTCGTACTGGCCGTCGGTCCTCTCTGGTCAATCCCTCCACTGTCGTGGACCTTCGTCCTGTACTCCTTGATCTCAGGGTCTGTGTGGTCATACTCCGGTCTTGTGCTTCTCACTTTTATATGGGCTATTGCGGAGGTGCGCTTTGCTGTCATCAATGCGCGATCGTCTTTTGATATCACACCCCAGGTTTTCTTCTCCGTACATTACTTCTTATTGGCGCGCTTTGTCTCAGGGCCGTGCCCCATTCCTGCAGGTGAAATGCGCGAGCTCCAGATCACCTTCACCCGTGTCTTGAAGGCTGGACTCGCCGATTTACCTGAAGAGGGCTTTGACGAGGAGTCCACCAAAGCGGCCCGGCCTGGAAGTCCGGCGGAGGAGATCGTGCAGCTAGGTAGGGATGATCGCCGCGCTGTCGACTTCCGTAATAGTCTGCGTACATGGTACGTTCATCAAGCGCCTATTTTCCATTAACAAACGCTGGCTAAGCATAATTGTCTAGGTTTGGCAAGGTACCATGGTCGCGCATACGCCGCCGGGAGATGCAGGAATGGCTTTACTGGGCCATATTCAACGCTCGTCTGCCCACGAACATATCATCTCTCCCTCACGCTCAACAAGTCTTCCTGAACGAGGCGCTTCAGCTCATCGAGAAACGTTCTGGCACTGAAATCCCGCCAGGAACGAACGCTCGGGCCCGTCCGATGCTGCTCACCCTGGACCCAGTGAACTTCGCTTGGAGGCCGCTCATCTGGTATCTCGTAATCGCGGCCGGGAATTGCGGAATGAAGCACCGCTTGATGATGAAGCACGGCATGCGCATTATCGAGCACGACGGAGTTGAGTATCTCCTCCGCGTACCGAAAGGCTGGAATATGGGCACCGATACGACACCACTCGTATTTCTGCACGGCCTTGGTCTCGGCTTGGTGCAATACACACTCGTCTTGCACACACTACTCCCGCGTTCCGCGCATCGACCTGTACTCGTTCCCCTCCAGCCGCACATCAGTCAGCTCATCTTTCACCCCAAATTCCTGACACCGAAGGGGCGTCACGATATGACAACTTCGATGGCTGCTTTGTTTGTCAAGCTCGGCTGGGTGAGCGATGAGCAGGAAGGGGAGAAATCGGTCGCAACTTCCAAGGGCGTGACGGTGCTCAGTCATTCGAATGGCTCGTTTGTTCATGCCTGGCTCTTGAAGGGGCACCCAAGCATGATCACTCGTTCGTGTTTTGTCGATCCGGTTACCTTTTGTTCATGGGAAGGCGATGTGTGCCATAACTTCTTATACCGGCGCCCTGCCACCGTATGTGATCGCCCCAAATTCAAACTGCTGTATTCACGCTCATCCATTCTTGGGCCTGCAGGCGCTTCAACTCCTGATGTATTATTTTGTTGGGTCCGAACTCGGCGTTACGAATGTACTCCAACGTCACTTCGATTGGGCTTCGAATAGCCTATACTACGAGGAAATCCCGCACGCGCGGGACCCGTCTAGGGCAAAGTTCTTCCTTGGAGGGCAAGATGCTATACTCTCGGCAGATGTAGGTCATCACTTGAACCTCATAGATGCGAACCATACTCATCGATTTCGATAGCGGGTGAAAAAGTATCTAACATCGCACGGAATCAGCAAGGGTCTTATGTACGACCCCAATGGCAAGCATGGTTCCGCCCTCCTCCAGGGCACGGCAGGCTTCATGGAATTGGAACGGTGGCTCGACGAGCCGGACCCTCAATAGACCCGTGTACAAAGGACCTTTGGACTGTTCCTCTATCTTCATCACATCTCTAGACTAGTTTACGAGCTTCATGAACGGCACGAATCGCAGCATCCCCGTATACCCGAGTTATAGCTTATATCATCCGCACCGCTGTGCTATAATCCTGCATTGCGCCTTCTCGTCTATCACATGTTGGAGCTGGTCATTCTAGCCCGACGGGAGCTCAGAATATCCGCCATCCTCCCTTCGAGACCAGATAATTCTTGTTCGCTGACTTCGGTGGCCTGTTGCTCTTCAAACCAGTGAATGGTGCGTAATGGCACGGCCGGAAAATCGCTTCCCCATACAATGCGATCGAGTACGCCCATTGCACGCGCAGCGGCGAGCCCGGGTCCGCTTGACAGCGCGGAGTCGAAGTAGCATCGTCTAAGCTCAGCCAGCACGAAGTCCTCAGTTAACGACAAGCGTTTGCCGGTTTCATCTGTTGAGAGCGCCCCGTCCATGTATGTAGAGAGCGCCGCCACACGGTGAGCGAGCGTCAAAACAGAGCCGCCGAGATGCGCGAGAATGAAGTTGACATTATTGAAGCGGCGTGTAGTCCCATTGACAATCAACTGTGCGATGGCTTTGAACGTCTCGTGAGGAGCCTGCGACACTGGGGTGAGGGCGAGTCATTTCGTCTTCCATGAACACCGACCTCTGTGATCGGAAGGCCCAACAACGGGTCCGGCATCGGCGTTGAAGAAGGTATCTGTGCGCCATGGATGAAGACAAGGGCGTTGCGTCTATTGAGCTCTTGCCATATGGGTTCGAAGGTACTATCTCCGATGTACTCTGTGGGCATGCTTAGTTGTGAACCAAAGGCATATCGATAGGCATAGGCTTACTAGCGTCCGCTCCTGAGCCATAGCAAGACGATACAGCAATACCGACAGCTTTTAGGTCGTCAAGACATACATCGATGAAGGCCAGAGCATCTGTGTGAAATATCAGGATCTCTTCTCAGCGGCGTCGAAATTGACATTTCACTTTTGACATTGCGCCAATCTCCCAGGCATCCCCAGTGCGAGAATTTTTTGGGATGTTCTGCGCTGATGTCTGCCATCGTTTTGTTCGCCTCATAGACGGCCTTGACCGAGGGATAGAAGTTCGCCGGGACCGACAGGATGGCACGGTCAACGCCGAGAGCAATCATTGCCTCTAATGATACGTCTGGAGACCACGGTAGATGCTCAGGTGGGGTACAGAAGCCTGCGGCAGCAGAAGCGGCCGCTTTGTTCATTGAAGGGGGAAAGTAGTGGTGGTGAACGTCGATCTTGCGCGCCATGATGGTGCATAGGTGAATCGAAGAGCTGTTGTGGCTCTTTATCCATTCCGCGGTCGCATTGTGGTGCGATGGTGCTGTCTGCATCGGCATCGTCGAGCGTCAAACGTCAAACACTGAACCTGTCAGACTGGGATCGTCGCACGTCTTCGATGCCACGAAGCACGCTTTCAGACGGATTAGGCTGAATTGGGCAACTCTCTGTTCATATTTGTTTGGGATGGACAAAAGTGCTCTATGGCTTCCGGAATGCCATACACTGTTCACTATCCCAAGAAACGAACTGACCGGACAACTCCGAGGGTGCGGTCAACGCAAGTTTTGCAATAACATGACCGGGCTGGTCAGGGGGGAGGAGCGCGCCCTCGTTATGTTCACGCACAAAGCTGTCGTACACAGCCTGATCCATGTGACCGGTTCCACCCGACCGGATTTGGCTCTGCATCTGCGAATTGGGGCGTAAACTCAGGGTGCGGAGTTTAGGTAACTTATGTGGGATGAACACATACGTCGGTGTTGACTTTGCCTGGACGCACGGCCACCGCCACAACATCTCTCTCCTCAGTAGCCAGGGTGCTATATCACCATGGTTGAGTATCGTGAAGCGCAAGTAGTGGTTGAATATGCGCGTACCGGCAGATGCTGTTCATGGCAGCCTTTCCTGCGTTGTACGCGCCCCAGCCAGCCACACCTCCGGTGGCGGCGCCCGAGGAGACGAAGATCACACGTCCGCCGTTGGGACCCTTGCGCAAAGCTGGAAGGGACGCATGTAGGGCCGTGATACAGGAGAAGACATTCGTATTGAAATGGTCTGCCCAGCTTAATGCGCTATTCTCCTGTGAGCCGAGGCGGCCGACCTTCGCCGGAGTGAGATGCTATTCTATATGTGCCGAAATTCGTACGTACCGGGTCTAGGATGCCGTGGTTTAGGACGAGGGCATCTAGCCGGCCATACTCTTCAGGAACTGACGTCAAGGCCTTGGAGAACGCCGGTGCATCAGTCCTACGGGGATGTGAGGCCTTATGATACATGCATAGCGAGCTCATATTCTTACGCGCTGCACTGTACGATTTTGAGCGCATCGGGATATTGAGCCGCGAGCTGATCAAGCTGGGCTGTTCGAGAGCGATTTATCGCAACCACAACAGCATTGAAGCCGAGTAGGATCTGAGCGACTGCGAGGCCCAGCCCTCTATCGCAATCAGTACACGCCACATATCATACGAGTTTGGGTGTATAGGCACCTAGAGGCGCCGGTGACCACCACGACGGGGTTCGGATGCATGATGGTCGACGATCACGGAGAAGGCGTTCGGACCCTCGGACACTCGGAGTGGACCCGGGAGTTCCCGTTCCGCCCCAGCGAGAATGTGCACGCGCTGGCCGAGAGACGGTAGCCTCCTCCCTCCATGTCCCGCCTAGCCCGCCTCACTGCGCCTGCCCTCCGCAACGCCCGCGCATCGGCCAGCGCACCGGCAACGCGCCAGGCCCTCCGTCGCGCTTATGCGACAGAGGCGGCCAAGAACTCGGTATATATATATATATATATTCAATGGCCGCTCGGACGCCTGGCTGACGGAATATCCTCTAGATGACGGTCCGTGACGCGTTGAACGCGGCGATGGAGGAAGAGATGATTCGCGACGAGTCGGTCTTCATCCTCGGTGAGGAGGTTGCGCGGTACAACGGGGCCTACAAGGTTCGTCACGCCGCCGCGGCCTGAAATGTTCCGAGTTATTTACGACTTTGTGCAGGTCACCAAGGGCCTATTGGACAAGTTTGGGGAGAAACGTGTCATTGATACGCCAATCACCGAGATGGGTTTCGCTGGCATCGCCACTGGCGCAGCACTGGCTGGCCTCCGACCAATGTCCGCTCCGCTCCCTTCTCGCTTCTCCTTCGCGCACTGACGCACATATAGTTGCGAGTTCATGACTTTCAACTTCGCCATGCAGGCCATCGATCAGATCGTCAACTCGGCCGGCAAGACGTACTACATGTCCGGTGGCAACGTACCCGTGCCCATCGTCTTCCGCGGTCCGAACGGTGCTGCTGCCGGCGTTGCAGCCCAACACTCGCAAGACTACGCGTCATGGTATGGTCAGATTCCTGGTTTGAAGGTCGTCAGCCCCTGGAGCGCCGAGGATTGCAAGGGTCTACTCAAGGTCAGTTATCTGATGTTACGAACCGCCCATCCACCTTCAGTATCTAACGCAGAAGCCCAGGCCGCTATTCGTGACCCGAACCCGGTCGTCTTTCTCGAGAACGAGATGCTCTACGGTGTCTCGTTCCCGATGTCTGACGAAGCCATGTCAGACAACTTCACATTGCCCATTGGCAAGGCGAAGGTCGAGCGCGAGGGTAGCGACGTGACATTAGTTGCACACAGCAAGATGGTCACACACTCGCTCGAGGCAGCCGAGATCCTCGCCAAGGAGGGCATCAAGGCGGAGGTTATCAACTTGCGCTCCATCCGCCCCCTTGACATCGAGACCATTAAGGCTTCTGTGAAAAAGACGAACAGGCTCGTCACTGTCGAAGGCGGTTTCCCCGCTTTCGGTGTTGGCTCGGAAATCTGTGCTCAGATTGTCGAGAGCGAGGCGTTCGACTATCTCGATGCGCCCGTGGAGCGCGTCACTGGCGCCGACATGCCCACACCTGTATGTTGCAATCTGTCATATGGCCAATAAATGATTGCTGACTATGCCAATTTAGTACGCGAAGAACCTCGAGGATCTCGCGTTCCCTGATACCAACATCATTGTCAAGGTCGCGAAGCGTGCGCTCTACCGCAGCAACTAATCGGACAGTCCGCGGCCGGTGCTCGAGTGGGATGGCTCACTACTCTTTATAGCTTACTCTAGGGATGTTATTGCTCGTGCTATAGATTTTCACCGCGTATAAGACCTGGGCTTTCGAGTAGACCTTCTAATACCTTCTTACTTTTCTTATAGTTCGTTTGAGCTGTGATAGCGATCACATGAGATTACACATCAGGCATTTTACAGCGAGTTCTTTTACACGACACTTTATGCCGCTGGCTGGTCCCTAAGCGCTGCAAGACGGACGCGCACAGCGTTGGCATGCGCGTCAAGGCCCTCACAGTCTGCGAGCGTAGCGACGACAGGTCCCAATACCCGGAGACCGTCACGTGTAAGCTCTTGCGATGTGATGCTCTTCTGGAAGGAGAGCGTGTTGACGCCACTGAACTGGCGTGCATACCCGTTCGTTGGCAGAGTGTGGTTCGTGCCGGACGCGTAATCGCCACAGCTATCATTTCGTCAGCGGATAGTTTTACATGTGAGCGGAAGGAACGAAGCTTACCTTTCTGGGGAGTAAGGCCCGACAAAGACACTGCCTGCATTCTGCACGAGCTCAACGGCACCAGGTGCATCCTCGAGGTGGAGGATAAGGTGCTCCGGCGCGTAGTCATTTGAGAAGCGCAGCCCCTCCTCTACCGTATCTACACGGACGATGATACTCTTCGGGATCGACTGACGCATGATGTCGACACGAGAGAGCGCACGGGCCTGCTCGTCGACTGCGGCCTCTATAGCTGCGAGCTTCTCATCAGAGAGCGAAACGGCTACAAGCACTACCTGTGAGTCGACGCCATGCTCGGCCTGGGAGAGTAAGTCGGCGGCAACAAAGGTTGGTTCAGCAGTGTAGTCAGCGACAACCTGATTGTAAGCATGAGCGTCATCTCAAGGAATAGTACCCGATCATCACTCACAAGAACCTCGGATGGGCCAGCAGGCATATCGATTGCGACGAGCGCATCTGTGTCGTTCTGGACAAGCATCTTTGCCGCTGTGACCCATTGATTACCCGGACCGAAGATCTTATCGACCTTGGGCGTAGTCTCGGTGCCATACGCGAGCGCTGCAACAGCCTGAGCACCGCCGGCGCGAAGCACGGCATGTGCCCCGACGAGGTGCGCGACATAGAGAACCTCAGGTGAAACGCTTCCATCAGGGCGCGGGGGAGTGGCGAGGACGATTTCGCCACATCCGGCAACTTGCGCGGGGACGCCAAGCATAAGCGCCGTAGATGGTAAAATGGCCGTTCCACCGGGAACGTACAGCCCGACACGGGCAATTGGCCGCGCGAAGCGGCGGCATACGACTCCCGGCATCGTCTGAACCTCGAGCGTCCCAGTGACCTGCGCGGCGTGGAAGGTGCGCACATTCGCGTACGCTTGGTCGATGGCCTTGCGTACATCCTCTGGAAGCACCATCGCTTCAGGGGGGAACGGTGGGCGAAGCACGGGCACATCAAGCGTAGCCTTGTCAAACTTCGCCGTCAAGTCGAGCAACGCCGCGTCTCCTCGAGCGCGCACGTCATCGACGATCGGTCGCACTTTGAGCATCATTTCATCGAACTTGAGAACTGGACGGCGAAGAAGGTCGGCGCGCTCCGGTGGGCTGCAAGTTTTGAGAGTGTATGTGCGCATGCGGATCGGCATGTCGACTGCGGGCTCTGAGGTGGGTTCGGGGGCGGGCGCAGGCGGCTTCGGAAGCGGGGACGGTGCGGGGCTCCCGCTGTCGACGGGCACAGGCGGAAGAGGCTTAGACTCAGATGCAGTGGCATTTTTCTTCCACTGAGCCTTGGCATTCCCCGGGCGGCGGGAGACCTTGAGCGCCTTGGCATCCAGGCCACGCTCGATGTCTGTGAGACTGACACCGGCCGCAATGCAACGCGTCAAAACAAAGTAGAACAGATCGGCCGCCTCAAATGCTACCTCCTCGCGCGTCTGGGCCGTACAGAGCTCGTCGGCCTCCTCCATAATCTTGGCTCGGAGGAGATCAGGATCGTTGAAGAGCCTGTGAGTGTACGACCCTTCAGGCGCACTCTCGAGGCGCGCCTGCAGTGTCGCCTCAAGCTTTGCAAACCCGTCCACCTGGCCGAAGCAAGATGGCTGCGGGAGGTGGCAGAATCCGGCGCCGCGCTGGACAACAGAGAACTCGAGTGCATCGGCGTCACAGTCAATGCGGATGCTGACAATCTCCTGCGTCGCGCCGGACGTTTCGCCTTTACGCCAGAGACCGTGCTTGCGGGACTGGTAGACGCCTTTCCCGGTAGCTATGCTCTCCGCGATGGATTCTCGCGACGAGTAGACCAGACCGAGGGTACGACCCGATTGCGTGTAGGATGAGACGACGGTGGGAAATAGACCGTCAGGCCGGTCGGAGATCAATGGGGCCAGGAATGCATCGGCGACGCTCAGCTGAGAAGCGGTGGAGGTGGCAGAGAGTATGAGGTGAGAACTACGCAGCACTGGAGTGGCACCGGCAGCGCGGACGGCGCGGAGAGCGGATAACGTAGGCAGCTCATCGGAAGTAGCATAGATATAGAATGTACTGTCCAAGAAGAAGCTCGAGACTTGAGCGACAAGATCTGCGTCGAGGGAGGGCGCGCGCAGAAGGACGCCGGAGATGCCGGCGCGCACTTTCTCACTCACCGCCGAGATGGAGGCGGCGTCGAGAAGGAGGATTAGGCGCTCGGGAGGGATCGAACCCACGAGCTCGAGTGCCCAAGCGAGAGGCACGACCAGTTTCTGTGCGCCCCGATCGAGCATGTCGACGAGCTCAGCCTGGTCAAGAGAGGTGTCATGATCCGCAAGCACGAAGCGATCCTTGTAGTCGGGCAGAGAGGAGTTGTGAAGCGCAGGTAGAAGCGCTGGGCCCAAGCGTTCAAGCGCCGCGAGCAGAGCGGCGTTGGGCGCGTCGTCCAGCAAAGGCAAGAACGCGGTCATCGTCGCAGTTGGACGTAGATTCGATGTTGAAATTTCTGAACCCGTAGATAAACCCGACGGTTTTGACTCGGTCCGCTTTGGCGGGAGCAGATGCGATCTGGGCTTCATCGCGGTGCACGTGGGCGCGTTCTGCATGCAGCATCGCGTTCACGGCCGCTCTCGACGCGTCTTTCCGAACCCAAGGGCGCCTTTCCATCTGCCAAATACACCTCCTACGCCACGATTAGTGACAAGTAACGCGTACTATCTTGAGAGTGGCAACTGCCGCGGAAGCGTGTGTAACGGGACACAACACGCGACGCGCTTCGAAATCCTACACCTTGCCTTTCGCCACCATCTCCTCTCACAGTCATATCTCATCGATCTTCTTCACGATATGCCTCCTCGCGGCGGTCCACAACGCGGCAGCGCGCCTGGTGGCGCTCGAGGCAGCGGACAGACCCCACGTGGATCGGGTCCTCCTCGCGGTGGCCCTCCTACCCGTGGTGGTCCTGCTGGTAGAGGTGGACCCGCGGGCCGTGGCGGCACAACTGTCGGGACTGCCTCATCCGTGGCCTCTCACGTCGAATCCATCGGCGTGAAGCGTCCCAACCATGGCGGTACAGGGCGCGTTATCACGGTCATCACCAACCACTATGCAACGGATATCCCCGACTCTAAGATTTACCATTATGATGGTGTGTCGACTGTGATCTGTGCCTCATGGTACTTATGATTTATTCCATCAAATCTGTCTACCTCGCTACTTTCCATAGTCAGTGAGTAATATGTCTACTATTTTCTGCCCGAGCTCGGGCTTATGGAGTCGTGTCGTCAGCCATCGCGCCGTCAGAGAAGACTCTTCCGATCAATCTGTGTTTCGAGATTGTGAAGATACTTCAAAACGATGTCGCGCCAACCGTGTTCACTCCGCGTGGCGCATACGACGGGCGCAAAAACATGTTTTCCTCCCAGCGCTATGGCTTCGGCGAGACAGATACAGCTACTGTACGTGGTTGAGACCCATCTCTACTCTGTTCTCATGCTCACTACGACACAGTTTGATGTCGTCCCGAATATCGCGAGCTCATCTGAGCCTCGCAAGGACGGGAAAGGCCCCAAGGTCTACAAGGTGACCCTCAAGAAGGTTGCTGAGATCAACCCGGAGTATGAGCCGATTCTCTCGTTGATATCAGTTCCTAGACTGACACCTCTTAGGGTACTCCTGCGGTTTTTGCGGGGCCAGCAGACGATGGATAATAGTGTGCAGACGGCCATGACCGTTCGTTCGTTCCTTCATACCGTGCGGTCGAAAACTTTGTTAATAAATACCACAAAGGCTCTGAACGTTACAATTCGCATGGCGCCTTCTTTGCAATACCCCTTCAACGTTCGCTCTTTCTTCACGAATGCCGAGACAAGCGACATCGGTGCCGGCATAATCCTCTGGCGCGGCTATTTCCAGTCAATTCGCCCCGGTGTCGGCCGTATGTTCACCAATGTTGATATCTCTACAGGCGCCATGTATAAGGATGGCACACTCCTCGCCCTGTGCCTTGACCATCTGGGCCAAACTGATCCGAAACGCCTGTCACCAAGACATGGCTTGCCGGATCGTCTCCGCATTCAACTGCAGAGATTCATTCAGAATATAAGGGTTGTGACAAATCACGGAAAAGCTCCTACATCTGGTACTCGTCGCTCGCCACGCACGGTCAAGAAGCTTACCAAAGAAGGCGCGCGCGATCTCGTGTTCCAGACAGAGACCGGATCCATGACTGTCGCGGCTTACTTCCAGGTAGATGGCGTACACACACATGCCCATCATGAGCTCACCGAAGCGTGATTAGGGCGTTCTGAACAGGCCACTACAGTATCCTGATAATATATGCGCTGAAGTAGGTGTATATGACTATTCTCATGTCGTGCTTATACTGATTGACTGTTAGTTGGCTTCTGGTGCACTCATCCCTCTCGAGCTCTGCCTCGTTCTTCCTGGTGCGCTTTTCAACTAGATTTCGTGGAGAAGCTCATACTAATATCCATGTTCAGGTCAGATCATTCGTAAGCAACTCCCGCCGGAGAAAACCAAGGATGTTCTGGATTTCTCCACCAAAAAGCCTGCCGAACGTCTGGCTAGCATTCGCAGAGGGCTCTCTGTTTGTTCATTGTTGTGTGGTAATGAACAGGGTGCTCATACATCATTAGGTGCTAGCATATGGACAGTCGGAGTATGTCCGCCAATTCGGCATCAACATCAGCCCGGACCTTCACTCGCTCAAGGCTCGGGTGCTCGAGGCACCGACACTACAATACGGCGTGCATTCTAAGCAACGCACGATTGTATGTTGTGTCACTACTCTACATCCTTCGCGATACTCACAATCTCACAGCGGCCTCGTGATGGGGCATGGAACATGCAAGTCTTGCTTAGGGAGTCGATGCTTACACATGACTGAATTCTTCTCAGGATTGATAAGAAGATGTACCTGCCTACGGGCAAAATTGACGAATGGGTGATGGTGGTTTATGAGCAACAGAAGCGTTTCAACGAGAATACCGCCATGGAGGTAGTCAAAGGACTCAGGGAGGCCGCAGCCTCAGTAGGTATGCTACGCCTGTCTGGATCGGGCGGGCGACGTTTTGTTCATGTCTTCGCTTAGGTGTACCAATCGGAAAGAATCCCGCACTTCTTGAATACCCGCCTTCGCAGGGCAATATCGTCGAGGTGTGTCCGTTGGACTACTATAGCCCAATATGTGCTCAGAGTTCTTTAGCAACTGGTCACGATAGGCGGGAGATGCCGCACCAAGACGGGAAAGATACCGTCCCTCTTCCTGGTCATCCTCCCGGAGGCTGGCAATGATATTTACGCCGCTGTCAAGCATTTCGGTGATGTTAAGGTTTGAGATGATACATGTGCTCGTCAGTCTCGTACTCACATCGCCACAGATGGGTGTCCCAACGCAGTGCCTCAAATCTTCCAAATGCTCACGCGCGAGGCAGCAATACTTCGCGAACGTATTGCTCAAGCTCAACGTGAAGCTTGGTGGCATCAACACTGTGCCTGAGCCGCGCTCTGTCTCTTTCCTCACGGATCCTGCCCAGCCAACACTCGTTCTTGGTGCCGATGTGGTCCACCCCGCTCCAGGCTCAGAGGGTCGTCCATCGTTCAGCGCGGTAGTCGGCAATGTTGACAGCGACTCTGCCAAGTATATCGCAACCATGCAGGTACAGGAATCGCGCGTTGAGATCATCCAGGACCTCCAGTCCATGGTTACTGTGCGTGGACCGTCCGCTTCATCTGATCCCCGAATGTCACTGAATATTCTCCTTCATAGCATATACTCAAGATGTATATGGGGTACCAGAAAGGTGTCGAGAAGAAGGCGCTGCCTGCGCCAAAGCGTATCATCTTCTACCGCGATGGTGTCTCAGAGGGCCAGTTCTCGCACGTTCTGGAGCGTGGTGGGTCAATTCTCCCCTTGAATACCCGCGCGAATCTCATCGTGGGATAGAGCTACCGCTCATCAAGAAAGCATGTGCCGACCTCAGCGTGAATGCAAAGATTACCATGATCGTCGTTGGCAAGCGGCACCACGTCCGCTTCTTCCCCTCCAACCCCGGCGACGCCGATCGCTCCGGTAATTGCCCAGCAGGAACCGTTGTGGACACAGACATTGTCAATCCCGTCGAGTTCGACTTCTACCTCCAGTCACATGGTGGTTTGCTCGGCACGTCGCGTCCGGCGCACTACAACGTTCTTTACGACGAGAATGGCTTCCAGTGTGTAGAATTCTTTCTGTCGCATTATGCAGGGCTAATACATGACTCCAGGGCAGACGGCTTGCAGTCTCTGACGTTTGCGCTTACGCATGTATACGCGCGCTCGACCCGCTCGGTCTCTATCCCAGCCCCCGTCTATTACGCCGACATTGTTTGCGCACGTGCGAAGCACCATTACGACCCTGGCGCCGGCCTCGAGCTCACGCAGACGATGTCAGAAACGGCTGACAATTCGGATGCTCAGCATCAGGCGCTCGAGGCTTTCCGCGCCGGGTTTAGGCCCGTGCACCCGACCATCTCGCAGCTAATGTATTTCTGCTAACCATGCGGGATTGCGATGGACTCGCTTTCGGAGTTGCTTAGAATTCTGTCGCATTGCCCTTCAAAATTCGCCTCGTCTGTTTCCTACCGAAGCCCCTTCTCAACACTATCAAATCCTCCGCAAACGGTCTCTTGTGTACATGTATCCCACTATCGCACAACCATCAGACTCAAGCCTCGATGCTGCGTACCACTTATCATGAAAAAGAGTACTTCCCAGATGGTAGTATTCGTCGCAGGCGGTTCACCGAAGCTGCCGAGTGGTGAGCTAGGATGTCCAGCAATGTTTGGATTACCAAGCGAGGCACTGTTGAAACGCGTGACTCGGTACACGTAGCCTCGTGACTGGGCTGCTATCGTATGGAGAGCGACTGCTATCCCAAGAGCATACCTATCTCGGACCCTTGGTCACAGCAAACTGGTAACAGATACGTAGGTACATTTGATGCGATGATGGCAAATCCACTGTGGCTGTCGAGACTCAAGAGCAGATATGGTACATCGATAGTCCGATCTACTTATTCTGTGATCACGTACTCCTAAAGCCTTCGAATGTGAAAGTAGTGCTTTCTCTACTGGCGTGATGCACTGCCGGTGACCATATTCGTGACGATCAATGATGGAAAGAAAGACGGAGAATTCAGAAGGAAAACATCGCCGCGCGGTCCCTCTTCCCGAAATGTACAGCGCAGTGACCGGCAGAGAGCCCAAGTAAGATGCCGATAACGGTCTTCAGCATCTCGCCGGTCACTTTGAGACTGTCGTCGAAAGTCATGGACGCGTGTAGATCCCCGAGGCCGGACTGGATGGTGCGAATCAGCGCCACGTAATGTATGTCAATGAACGCCCGACATACCGGAACGAGCATCATGACACCCGAAACCATCGCAGTGAATGCAGAAGCATGGAATATACGGGAATATAGATTACCGATGAACCCAACGGTGAACGCGCCGATGAGACTAGGCAGAACTGCCGTTTGACCAACAAGGAATCGGTTTGCCGCTTTGTTGACGGTATACGCGCATATTGTGATGAAGATGGCGACAAGAAGGTCGCGCCATTTGCGCCAAGGATGTTTGTTGGCGATACTTCGAGCGACCGCGAAGAGAGGGACCGTGAAGAACATGAAGTACCATGGGAACCGACTGTAGAACCAGGGAGTCCCGGGAGGTCTGTAGCATCCTTCTATGACATGCGGTATTGACGCGGCTTCTGCCTTCAGAGAGGATTGCGGAAAGATTGTGAAGACGATGTCCGTGCCGACCTCTAGCCCAAAGCTGAGAACAAGGGTGCTCATCAACGCCCTCACGAGCTTCACGGCCCCCGAATCCGTCTGCCCCAGAACAAGCTCCAATACAGCCAACACTGCATGCAAGAGATTAAAATCTAGACAACCCTAGCACCAGCGACACGCACCGGCAGAATAACCTTGCAAACGGCCGATGATTGAGGAATATGCAACAGCGTGCCAGCACACCAAGTTCTTCGTCAGGATGTTGATGATGGCCGCGGCGAAGGATACGATGCTAACTGAGACGAATCTAAAAGTAGTTATTAGCCCGGATATAAGCGACAATCTGATAGGGAATCATACTCCGCCGTCAGCTTGGCTATACTCCCTCGCACGACATAGGTGGAGAGGAATACGATCATGGCGCCAACTCCCGCAGCAATCATATCCACGAATGCGCCGCCAAAGGCCAGATTCGACAGTAAGAATGAGAGGAGGAAGGATAGGAAAAGTTGTAGCCAGAAGCCGAGTAACGGTGGTGCATGCATCTCGCGGCGAAGGAGTTCTGTGGCATCCAGTGGCGTAAGTTCTCGAGTGCGAACGAGACGACGATAGACAGAATGTATCGTGTTGAGGCGGCTGAGGCACAGATGAGAGCAGTGCATAGCGTGGACGAGAGTCGTATATGTCGTTTGAGCGTTATTTCCGCGGAAAATGAGCTCGATCTCGTCCGACCTGATATTGAAAGCGACATCAACGTCGAGCGCGTGCGCGGTGGAGTCAAGGATGCCTTTCAGGCGATGAGCAGGAGAGCCAAAACTCATGAGAGCCTGTCCGAGAGTCTCGATGAAACGATGTCGGATCAGAGTGTCTATCAGGAGTGCTTAGTCCAGCATAACAAGATTGAAATAACCAGCGTACATTCGACGGCAAATTGCATCTCTAATGCATGTACCACCTTTTCCCGTTTATGTGGAGGGAAATGCTCCGCCTCCTTCCAATATTTATCTCGCCATTTCTCATCGATACCCTGAAAAGTCGGAACGCCAGTGACGCGCGGGTCGTCTCCATCAAGTAGCAGAAATGACTCTGAGGTCCCGCTGTATCTCTGCGAGAATTCTGGTAGCGCCTGGTCGTGTTCCATGTTGATCGTCGCGCCATCTTCTGAAAGACTGCCCTCGAAAAGAATGGGACTGGCAAGGGCAGCAAGCCTTCGTCGACGTAGTTGAGCAGCCGAAAACTCTAGTGGAACAGGGACGTCCACGAGTGTCGCGAGTTCAGGATCCAGATAGGGTTTTCCTGACGCCAAGCTGGCGATGGAGGCACTCGACCCCCGGCGTGAACGGTTCAACGGGATGCGCTGGTCATCGAAGGATATGTCCATGAGCTTTTCTGTGGAGGGTCGAGACGGAGATAAAGGAGGAGGCGTTGATGCTTGCAAAGCGCGCATACGGGTAGATGCAGGCGTGGTCGGAAGTGATAGCGAGTCGCGAGGGCGGGCGACGGTCGGCAGCGGTGAGCGAACAGTCCCATAGGGTGGCGTCGATGGAATAGGAGTCAGCATCCCTAAAGGGTAGCGGGCCGTCGCTTGAGCGTCAAAGCAAAGGGTAGGACAATATAAGCACGGACCAAGGCTATTTCCATGTTCGATGCCGATGTCCAAGTTTCGTCAGACTGAGACTTCCGTCGCTGGAGTTGAACGTTTCGGTGTATACTTCACTCCGTAGTTCATAGGACCCTGACCGAAGCATATGGCGAAGAGTTGCGTCCCGACAACTTGTCCCCGGTGTGGCTCGACATTCACGGCGCAGATCAGTGAGTGTGAGCTCACGCACACCGTGACATGTACTGTAGAGACGGGGCTATCATGAAGTTATCATCAATCGGCGGGCTACACAAGGGGCAGACTTGCCGACACCGTGTGGACATGGACTGAGTCGGGGCCGCCATCGCGGCCATGTTGCTAGGGGTGATGCTCATGCTGAGCTCAGAGCTGGTCGCCAAAATATGTTTAATATGCCAAAGAGCTTGGTTGGTCGCCGTCAGACGCCAATAGAAGAGCAACTCCAGACTTGCACTGGATTGGGAAGTAGGGTGCTCTTGCTGATGGATGCGGTCTCATAGTGGCGGTTGAGACGAAGTCGCTGACTTTCCACCGCTCGCAATAAACGTGGTCCTCATAGTACAACAAGTCAGTCTCGGAACATAGATCGTCCGTCGGGGACCCAGTTTTCTAGACTCAATCATCGGCAATAAATGCCCGAAACGGCACCAACTTGGCGCTGGGCGCTCAGCGGCAAAGTTAACGCATGTGGTGATTCCTGCTTGCGTCTCGTTGAGATATCTTCTGTTTATTCTAAGTGTGTGACAGAAGTGTACGTAGACTCTTCCTTGCTATATACAACCAGATCCCAGGACGGTATATACACAGATACAATTATATTCTACTTATCGAGGACGGTCGTCTCGACGATAATGGCGGTGACGCGGTAGGGGTCTATATGAT